CTCACATTAAGCACAAAACCCACGCACTTTAAGCACAAAACCCAGGCACCTTAAGAAGGAAACCCACGCACCTTAAGTTTCAACAACTACTCACATTAAGCACAAAACCCACGCACCTTAAGTACAAAACCCACGCACCTTAAGCACAAAACCCACGCACCTTAAGCACAAAATCAACGCACTTTAAATTTGATCTAGACGTAAAAATTACTAAATTTCCACCACGTTTTTTTTTTTAATTTTATTAATCTTGGACGTTGATTTAAGTAAGATCAATGGCTCATATTTAACCGCACCTGGACGTACCAACCGCATTTGAACGTAATGATATATATATATATATATAGGTTTAGGATTAGGATATGCACTTGAAGGCCAAAATTTTAGACATTAAAATGTGTAATCGAAACAATTTATGATCTGTAATTGAAAGTTGGTTTTAGTGGTGATGTTTAGTGAGTGTCGTCCTCTAGGAATGGCTATAATCGCACGTTTGGTACACGGAATGAATTTTGAGGTAATAGGAATGCTATTCCATAAGGAATGGAATAGGCAAGGAATAGAATATGAATTGTATTCTATTGTTTAGTTCGCGGAAGGAATAGACTTTAAGAATTATATTACAGTGTTTGGTTGATTTAAGGAATAGAAATGAAATATGTTTTAAAAGATTAAATACCCTTAAAAAATATGTGATGGTGGCGATGGTGGTGGTGGATTGCGGCGATGGTGGTGGCGGTGGCGGTGGCGGTGGTGGCGGTGGTGGTGGTGGTGGTGCTAGGGTGGTAGTGGTGGTGGCGACGGTGGTGGTGGTGATGGTGACGGTTGTGGCAGTGGTGGTGGGGGCGGCGACAATTGTGGCGGTGGTGGTGGTGGTAGTGGTGGTGGCGGTGGTGCTGTCGGGTGGTGGTTCTGGTGGTTCTGGTGGCGGTGGCGGTGATGGTGGTGGTGGTGGTGGTGGCGGTGGCAGTGGTGGGGGCGGCGACGGTTGTGGCGATGGTGGTGGTGGTGGCGGCGGCGGGGATGGTGGTGGTGGCGACGACGGTGGTGAAATAGGATAGATTTATATATAGGATAAAAAAAATTAGGTTAAAGAAAGGGGTAAAAAAGAAAATAGATTCTAAAATCTATTCCTGAGCGTTCAGTAATAGGCTAATACCAGGGGGGCCTAGTAATAGCTATTACCTTATTTGAGGTAATAGGCTATTACCAGGAATATTATTCCTGGTAACAGAAATGGTTACCAAACAAAGGAATATGCGTATTACTGGGAATGCTATGCCATTCCCGACCTATTCCGTGAACCAAACGGGCTATAAAGGAATTGAGTAGAGAGGAGTTAAACAGAAGATCAGTGTTTGAGAGCTAACCAAAAGGTAATATGTGATTGCATTGAGACTTAAATAGAAAATATATCAATTGATTAGGTAATAGACAACGAATAAAGAGAGGATTTAAAACAAATAACATTGTATAGATTCTTCTGAGTGGTCTAATATTCTAAGCCACACATTGTTCAATAATGAAAATGAGGGGGTTAAGTAAGTGCCAACGCCATTCTCCTGGACATTAGGCTATCACTCGAGTTCTAGTACCATTCTCATAGCAACTAGACTGAGTGAGGCAATGAATCAAACACCTTTTGTGCTCATTCCCTGAATCCCTTCCAACTCCCCTTTCTCAAGAGTAAGTTAGAATTGTGATAGGTTTGACAATGTAAAACCTAGATTTGGAAATTCAATTCATCATGGCATCCATACAAAGAAATTCAATTTAAATTCCTAACTAGTTTAATTACTCATAATGGAATTGACGAACTAAAAGCAATTGAAGTAATTCCTAATAAATTCAAACTACAAATTATGTGAAATGTAAAAGTAAGAATTGGAGAACTTAACTTGATAAAACTTGTAGCATGTAAATCTGGAATTGAAGTAGAAGTTGTGATTACAAATGATAATCTTCCTCTAAATCTTCCAAATGTTGATGGATTACAATGGATTCTACTCTAAGATGGTTTGTGGTGAAAGAAAATGTAGAGGGAGACTTGGAAATTGAAAGATAAAATGAAAATAACGCCTAAAAACTATTTATACTCTTGGAATCGCGCCAATAAAACTGCCTTCAGATTGCCTGGTCACGGTGCGAACTCCATCGTGACCCTCAAATAGCCTTCTGATATCACGGCGTGACCTTCAGCGTGACAGCCTCCGGGGGCACCTTTGGACGCAATCTTTGCTTTGTTGCTTCGTGCTATGCTTTTGATCTTCCATTTTTAACCATTTTACCTCGGTATCATCCCGATTTGTCTTATTTTAAGTTCCTGCATGTCTAAGTCCAAATTTCCTTTCCTCGATCCAGAAACACATGAACGAAGCCACATTTCAGTGCAATTACCTAGCATCAATCAACAATTTAGTACAAATGAAGCACAATTATGAGCTATTTCATGGCTTTTATATATATACATATATATATATATATATATATATATATATATATATATATATATATATATATATATATGTGTGTGTGTGTGTGTGTGTGTGTGTGTGTGTGTGTGTGTGTGACATTGATAATTGACATATTTATAAGGTGCATAAATTACAATATTCCCATAAAACAAATGTCATTTAGTATATAATTTGTGTATAATTGACAAAATTTTGTGATTTTTGTAAGGATGAAAAACATTTCTTTTTACAGGATATAGTGATAAACTCATCTAACAATTGCACTATTTTTTGCAAAATTTGACGCCACATTTACAATTTATAAAAGTAAAATGTTTAAATAAGTAGTATCAAATAATTGAGGGATGAAATATATTTTTCCCTTAAAACTTTTCATCCCATTTATTGCATGAATGATATGAAATTTCTCTGTACATAATTAATAGCTCCATCTATTATATATAGAGATACATTGTACCAAAAATAGTTCTTAAAGACAACAAATTGAATTGCACCCCAGAAGTCTATGATCTAGCAGACCCTACTCAATGAACTGGCCCATCATAATTTTTATCTGATCTGGTCTCTGACATTCTTCATTGCTGCTGCTGGAATCTTGGGAAAATTTTGGTTTTCTACTTTCTAGGAAAAAAAAAAAAAAAGCTATGTGACCGCCCTAAAACCCCATACTCTGCTCTGATCAAATGGTGTGGTCAATCATGCATGATGATTCAGTAATTTTTCAAGTCTAAGAATTAGTACTTAATGTTTACAAAACGGTCGCTATATTATGCGTTGTTCTAATGCTCTTACATTGTGATTGTCAAGACTGATTTTACGTTTTAAGGTGTAATTGATCATATACCAATTAAGCTCTTTATGTAAATGATAAGTTAGGTTTTTTATGACTTGTTACTAATACAAACACAATTTTTTACATCTGTTGTACAGAGCGTAAACATACACAAATACAGCAGACGTATATGCGTATATTATTGTAAGACGTAGATTGTAGCACTTTTTGCGTCAGGAACAGATGCAGATAGGAAGTTTGGTTGTTTCAAAAAAATAATAGACAAAAATAATAGAGAATTTCCCTATTGTTAATATTTTTTTTAAAAAAAATATTAATTTGATAATAATACAATTTTTTTCTGTACAATCTAACTAAAATAATCGACTCATTAATACTATCAATATGTTAAATACAAACACATAATATGAATATCGATTTTGATCAAGATTCATAATGTGAATTCTGGTATATGGTATAACAATTGTAAATCAGCTCTGGCCTAACCGATTCTATTATTTCTTACCCCATATTACATGTTTGTATAGGTAGCATCTTTATTGGTTTACTTGCTAGATTCTTTCTTTCCCAATTGATGCCATATTTTTTTGTACTCTCGAATATTTCACTTTAAGGGACACTCCCTATCACGGTTTGAGTGATTCTGACTAAATTAGCACTATATCAATTCTAATTCTAATTAAGTAATAAAGAAGACATTGACTCAAGTACGATTGAAGGGTTTAAATTTTTGAATGAAGTCTGATTCTTAAAAATGATTGTATTGTAGTTTCAAGAATTTCCACAACTTCTACAATGGAAATGAGACTTGGTGGAAGAAGCCAGGTTAATTACGAAATATGACTCAACATGATTAATAAATGTATTTGGAATCAAGACATATAATTTTACTCTTTGTTTTATAGAAAAATCCACGAAAACTACCTAAAGATATGCATTAGGTGAAATCTGTCTTTGAAGTTCTAGCAAACAAAAGATCCAGAGAAAGTAAATCAGCATTGACAAACTCTGACTGATCGACTCAACTTAAAGACTAATAAAAACTCTTAAGTGGAATCAAACTTTTAACTTTGAGGTCATAAACTTACTCTCGACAAGTTCAATTTGGACCTTTGGTCCAATGGAGTTTTATTCTTAATTAGATTAGTATAAAAAGTGAAAAATAAAAAGGTTGCTTTCAATTTCTAGTTATTATGTCTTTTAAGTGTTTATTCAATTTAAAAATATTTAAAAACCAACAATCTCCTTTGCAAAGGCTATAAAACAATAATTGATATTTAAAATTAGCAAAAAATCTTTAAAAACAATCTACTTAGGATGAGATTGAGACTTTGAGATCGGTAAATTCTTAAATTATAACATAATCTATTGTAAAAAAAAAAAAAAAAATCAGTCACAATTTCAAATTTTTAAAATTGTATTATTAATTTATTGGACACATAATTTGATTGAACTCGAACTATGTAGTCATCAAGTACTGAATTAAAATCATTAAAATAGAGAATTCTTCAAATATGAACTTATCAAAATTTTAGATAGAATTTTTATATATTAAAACACAACAACAAAACTAAGATGAAAAGCAAGCACCTTGTGCTTAGATGACATGTAGTGATCTTTCTCATGTGGAAGGTCATGAGATCGAACGCCTTAACAGAGACGTATATTTAAACAGATACTACAATGTAATAGAGTCAGTAGCATTCAAAAAAGTAAGATGAAAAGAAACATAGTAGCCATTTTAATTTCCATGATCATTAACTAATCCTTGAAAATTCATGTTTCAAAGTTGTGGGAATTACATTTTACAAAACCATCATCTCAACATCCTTGTTCGAAACTTGTACAAAATGATCACTCCAACATTTCCTTATCACCATTCCCTTGAAACATGGAATTTTCAATGTGATTTCAACAACATAAATAAACCCAAAAATAGAGAAATTAAAATTTCCAATGAGAAATGAGAGGAAAAAAAAAAAAAAAAAACTTTTTTCACAATAATCATTTATGAATTATTGGCTAGACCAAATTCACACTAATAATTTAACAATCATTTATCCTCGAAATGTTGAATTTGTGGTAACCAATAATTAATTGTGTACTCAAGTGTGACGTCCCATTGTATTATTACCACTATCTTCATTACCATCATCACTGCCCACTAAATCATTGAGCTAAATCTGTGCGGGTTCATGATTGATACCCTCGGTGATGGATGCGAGTTTTTGAAGGTTGAGCTTAATGACGGTGTCTGCGAAAAGCTTGGTGTCCTCCTCCGTGTTCCCCTCCGGCATGTCCACCACATAGGACTCCAGCACGGCGGTGCAGCTCCGGCCGCCGTCGCCGTCGCGGCGGCGGAGGCCGTGGACGGAGGTGACGGAGCGGTAGTTCCTGAGGCGGTGCTCGCCGCCAATGATGCTGAAGCCCGTGACGCGGCGGGCGTCGTCGAGGATGTCGAGGCGCTCGGTGCTGGTGGCCGCCGGCAGGCCGGAGATGACGTTGACGTAGCGCGTGTCCCCCACCGCCATCCGGAACCCCTCGCACACGGTGCAGCTCTTGATGAAGTGCTTGTAGGTGTGCGGCTTGTCGAACTGGCGCACCACGGACCACACCGTGTCCGGCGGCGCGTGGATTCGCTGCGCCAGCAGGGAGGAGCATTGGCCCGAGTTGACTCGGTAGGTGTGGAACTCAATCGCCCACGGCCTCAGCTCCTCGAACTCGTCCGGATTCAATCCGGGCGGAACCGTCAAGTGATGGGTCGACTCCGACCCGACTTCTTCCGCATCTTCTCCTCGCTGCAAATCACTGTTCATCGAGCTCTCAGCTTTCTCCATTAAAGAGAGAGAAAGAGAGAATCAAAAACTGTTAAGAGAGAGAAAGCGAGAGGGGATTTGAGGAGGAGGAAAGGAGAGGTTTTTATTTTAGTTCTAAATGATGGGGAGAGTTTGAGGAGGACGGAGGGCATAAATGGAAATTTAACAAAATACTACTCGTATATTTTATTTTTTAAAAAATTGTAATGTCAATCGCTACAATTATATATAATTACCCATTATACTAGCATACTATAGATAATAATAATTTATCTAGTATGATTAATACTCCGTAATATTTTTTTTTTAAATACTCATAATTCTTTACAAGTTAATATATTTTTTTGATGCTATTGGCGCTATTATAATGTAGTATCTGTTCATATATGAAGCTCAAACTCACAACCTTTCAAATAGAAGTCCAATCCGAGTACCATTAAACCACATAGTCCTGGTCCAAGTTAATATATATTCTATATTTTTTTAAAAAAAAAAATTCAATCCAAATAATCGACACTCTACCCCTCCATCACCGAAGTTCTATCATGTAATCACCCATTTAGAATAAAAATAATTTTTAATAATACTTTATATAATCATGTATTATATTGGATATTATTTGAAATGATCAAATAATATGCCGTATAATAAAAGTTTTTTTTATAAAATTGTACGTAAAAATCCAATAATATTTTATAAATTACTAATAATATTAAAGATAATGATGCGTGTTATAAGACATGCTATATATACAAATTAAAATTATTTATAAGAAATAATAATTTGCTTACATAAGATTTGTTTTATGTAATAAATTCATTTTTAAATGATAAAATTGTAACTAAATTTTAATATAATATTATTATATAAAATTATTTATCAGATTTACTATTTAATGAAAAAGTACCACTTATTTATCTGTTTATTTTCTTTGAACATTTGTATTTTAATTTTTAAATCTTTTGAATTTAATTTTTAAATACATTAATACTCAATTAAGCAATAAATTAATGAAATTATGAATAATTAAAAATAGACAAAAAATGAAAATTTGGATGAACATTATAATATAATCATTGATTTGCGCACTTATCACATAATTGACTATGTTTTTTTAAAATGAATTATTGTAGTAGTGGAAAGAATATTAAAATTGCAATTCGTATAGGAGTGGGATGACAGGTGGGTGATGGGCGCATTGGTTAAGCCAATGGTTGACTGACACGTTAGCCTAATTCTTGAAGCCAAAGCATGTTGTTTTGTTTCTTTTATTCCTTTGTTTAATTATTATTTTTGTATGATTTTAAATATTTAGTTAGAAGAATTTAAAATATATAAAGTTCAATTTCCCTCATGGTTAGATCAGATCAGATCACATTGTTTCAAAGTGAGCTCTAATAATGACAAATTTCTCACATTTCACTACACTGCATTTGGACATAGAAAGTGATAACTTAAATAAATTGACCTGTCATTTATAAAAAATATATAAAAAAAAATTCAATATTATACAACACAATTACGAACGGTCTCTTTGTGTTTGCTAAGTTATATAATTTATGAGCCAAACAATAACTATTATATTGTAGGTGGATTTAAGTTGCGATTAGTAGAGAAATTGTAGCACTAAAAAGAGTGATAGTTAAATTATTTGGCAATGCTATAATTGGATTGGCTAACTGCTCTAATTGCTTCAAACATTAAATTTTTTAACCAGAATTAAAAAGTGTCTTAGAAGGAATAGATTATTCCAAACATCCAACCACAATTATTCCAATTTTACTAACATCACATGGGGATGTAACTTAAAAAAGCTGAACTCAAATAGTCAAAATTTATAATTCGACTTCATTCAAAATCTTGAAGCTCATGCTCAATTGGACTAGAGTTCTACTTGAATAGGTTCAATAATTTTTTTTTCTATTTTTATATAACAAATTGTAATATGTATTTTACAATTAAATATCATAATAATTTTCAATATTACATCCTCATCATAGTCGTTTTTATAATATATAATTGTGTTAGCTAAATTTGTACAATAATATATATTTATATTATAAATCATTTTTTTTAAAAAAAAAATCTTATTAAACACACAAACTACTCAAGTTAAGTATTAAGATATTCAAATTTGACTTGATTCATTGCTCGAATCATTTGAGTTTGAGCAAATCTCGACAATAATCAAATCAAATTTAAAACTTTATCAAATTAAATTTGAGTAATTTGACTCGCTTATACTCCTACAAACCGCACCATCAATAGGAAAGTTTGATGGACATTCTTTTTCCCCAAAAGATTGAATTTTCAATCTCGGCCCATCAGAGCATTTGGGAGGATGTAAATTACGGTGACTTAATGGCTCAGCAGACATGGCCAAATGCCGGTGTGCACAAAGGATCTGCCCAGTTTGGACATAATCCCCACACTGTCGCTGCCGAGATTCAAACCTTGTCTCTTCTTTCAAATATTGACTACTAAATCAGTAAGCTAAACCGGTGCAGACATTTTTTATGGACACTCCACTTGTCAAACATCTCACTTTCTCTATTGCCCTTTGTCCAAGTTACCTTTGAAAGGCATTTATTATTTGCGCAGTTTAATGGAAATGTTTTTTATTACGAATATAGCCTGTTTATTTAGGTCTGGTTTGTCTATATTTGGTAATATATACGGTAATGGAGTTTCCAACCAACAACCTTAAACTTGAAACAAAAAGGAAACAACCTTTCTTTAGGTTTAAGGGTCAGTTTGGTTTTATATATGCTTTTGTTTTCAATCACACAGAAATAAAACTAAAAAAAGAAAATCATTAGTGTGCTTTTTTGTTTCATTAATATTCTAAATTGGGCTTAAGGGAGGATCTACTATACAGGTCGGTAGAGAGAGGGGATTTCAGAAGGTTAATGTCGAATTTGACTCGGAAGCTGTTGTTATGGTTATGAATGACAATCCACAGCAGGGAGATAATATTTCTTCTATTATATCATGGACTGTAAATTTCTTGTCAAAAGTTTTGATTGTGTGAGGTTCTATCATGTGTTGAGAGAAGGGAACACGTGCATGCGCTAACTACTTGGCTAATTTGGGACAAATAAATTAACTCTTGAAGGATGATGATCTTAGAAGAATTAGATAAATGACGCTGATGCGGTGTCGATCTCACCCAAAAATATCGAATCTAAAAATATTTTTTAAAAAAATATTTTAAAAATGTTTTTAAAATATGAATTTCTTAATACGAAACGTATTTTTATTTTTGAGGAATAAAACTTAATTCATTGAATCAATTGATAAACAATCAACAAGATAAGGGGACGGGATGTCAACCCATTTCTCGCAACCTGCACAGAAACAGCTTCCCGGACGACAAGATGGGCAGCACGATTCGCAAATCGCTTTACAAAGTGGATTAGTAACCAACCTCCAGGCTTGTTTCCCCAAGAAAGCCATGTTGACCTCCCTTAGCTTCCTAAACCCCATGCCCCCGTACTTCTTCGGTGCACATAACCCTTCCCATGATTTCCATCTAATCCCCTTTCCTCGTCCTGCAGTACTCGTCCACCAATATTCATTCATTATGATCTCGATTTCCTTGGAGAGACCAATCGGTAGAAGGAAAACCATCATAGCATATGATGGAAACGATATTTTTATTTATCTGTGATTGCAAGAATATAATATCTCACTTCATTGGAAGGCAAATAGATGATTCATATTACAAAATGGCTCAATCAATCTAGTTGCAAGAGAATCACTATTGTCGGTAAAATTAAAATAACCCTTGAAATATTATTTTACGACTATACCACCATTATCTACCATATAACCATAAATATATAAATATATATAATCTCTTCTACTATTCTACCATTAAAACTTCTATAATTCTTTGTTATATATATATATATATATATATATATATATATATATATATATATATATATATATATATATATAGAGAGAGAGAGAGAGAGAGGAAACCGTTCATGTGAGAACGCGTCGCCCAGGAGAGAAATTAGAACTACTCACAGTTGTCCATGTATCTAAATCTAACGGATCAAAAACACTGATTTTAAAAAAAAAAAAAAAAAAAAGTGGTGGCATTTCGTAAATTATTGAACATCGAAGTACAAGTAACAATTTCATATAGTGCACCTAAGTGCAAGTAAAATGTGTTACAAGTACAAGTAAAATGTACACTGAGCATCAATATTAAGTGCACCTAAACGTTATCATTAGTTGCACCAAACATTATCATTAAGTGCACATATGTGAAAGAATTTATCATTAGGTGCACGAATGTTACCAAGGTAAATTACTTGCACTTGTAAGTGAAAATAGTTGCACTTGAAAGTAATTTTACTTGCACGTTTTACTTGCACTTTTTATTTGCAAACTTGTATCAATTACTTGTACTTGTAAAACATTTTACTTGCACCAAAGTTTGAGTTATTTACAAATATGTCACCGTGTCATTTTTTTAAAATTACATCTGATTCGTTGATCTGGACACGTGAACAGTTGTAAATGGTTCATATTTCTCTCTTGGGCGCTGTTCGCATTAGAGTGTGCCATATATATATATATATATATATATATATATATATATATATATATATATATATATATATATATATATATATATATATATAGGGAGAGGATCAAGTGAGGACATAACCTTAGGTGAGGACGTGAGGACTAATCTAGACCATTAAATCAGAATAAAGCATGGATGAGATTAAAATGAACAAATCATATGGATTAAGGAAACAAATCCCTTTAAAATATTAAAAAATATAAATTTATGGGTAAATTAGTCTTATTAGAATTTGTGCATTCCTATACAAACTGTTGTGCATTCCCATACAAACTGTTGTGCATCGATAAGTCTATAGTTGTGCATTCAAACACCACCTAAAAATCCTACAGTGGAGATCTCAATGTCCTACGATGCACAGAACTATGTGCACTAATGCACAACTCACTAGCCAACGGTGCATAACTTACAACACTAAGTTGCACAACCAGCACACACGAATGCACAATCGTACAATCCAGCCATTTGTACATATACACGACCATCCAAATATA